GCAAGGAGGGGGCGGGGTTGTGTGCTCCCCCCTGCCTGTATCGCGGGGTTGGGGGGCACTGGGTATGAGTGGGTGGGGAGCCAGTGGGGGCACGGAGCCCACACTGGTGCCCCAGGGTCAGTGCCGGTGGGGCCCAGAGTAGTGTGGCAGGAGCACGGGGTCCCAGCTGGCAGGGGCTCTATGGAGCCAGGCCAGCTCCCCCCTTTTCCTGCTGGTGCAGTCCAGCCCAGCTCCATGTACCCCTGCCAGCCTGTGCCCTGCTTTGGGCCTCACCGGTGCTGGCCCTGGGACATTGGTCCCAAGACATTGGGACATTGGTCCCAAGATGGTGACCAGGGGGCAGGGCACCTGTCAAGGGGTGGGGCTACCCATGCAGCCCTTGACAGCCTGCCAAAACTGGGTAAGCTGCCCTCTGCTGGAAATAATTGCCCGCCCCTGCCTTATATCCTGTCCATGCCCAACCAGTACCGTAGCCCAGAGTTTCTCCTTGTATGGTGGTTGGAAATTTCTCACCTGGCTTATCCCATCATCAGGTCTGCTTCCACTTTTCTCTTCCCGTCTTCTCTACCCTGTTCTCCCGTTAACTCACTGCATCAGTCATCTCAGTGACTCTACAGCAACACTTTCTGGCCTCTGTTTTTTAGTCCTCAGTTTCTATACCTCCGCATAGCCCCAGCACAACTAGCTTGGTTGGTCAGCTGTCCCCTCTCCAGGGCACCAACAGCCATCGGTGCTGCTTCTTTTACAGGTCATTCCAGCCAGCCCGATCAATCAACAGCAAATCACCCAGGAGGACCAGGATGGCTCTGAAAAAACCACCATGGGTTGACATAATCAGATGCTGCTGTAATGTGTCCGTCCCAAGTAAGCTTCTCCCTGTCGCTGTTCCTTCCTTAAAACAGGGGCCGATACCAGTGCTCTGTTACAGGTTTCCATGCTTACAGCAGGTAACCAAGGCCCTTTATCTTGAGGAAATAGAGTGGTAAGTCCTTCCCTGATATCCATTTACCTCAAAATAAGCCCATCATCCCTTTGTGGTTAGTTTTTGCAGAAAACAGGTATCCAGGTGCTGTAGTAATCCTATCACTGTAACTGTAACTTGATACTCATCAGTGTCCACTGAGTCAACTGATTATTGTATTTTTGGAGGCTTTTATTTTTGAGCTTCCAAACTGAAACATCTGAAAAGGGGGCCTGACTTTTTCAGAAAGTTCTGTGCACCTCTTTTGAAAATAGGATCTTAGACTAATGACAACGCTACCTGGCTATTATACAGATCTTTCTTTATTCAGAAAAATCTCACAGCAGTTTATAAAGGATGAAAATATCATCATCCTTGTTTTACAGACAGAGAGACTGAAGCACAGGAAGTGGAGACACTTATTCACATTCACCCTGTTGGTTAATGCTAGAGTCAGGAATAGAACCCCTGTCTCCTGAACTGTAGTCCAGTGCTCTAGCTACGAGTGTTGAAAATCTAAAGCTTCTTATATTGAGCCACCAAATACTTATGTTAGAAAATCTTGGCATTGTTGCTCTTTATGTTGGATAGGCCCAATAGGAATTTCAAGAGGTGCATTTATGAGAAACCCAAGTAAAAGACAGAAAAGAACATAAAAGGCTTTGAGCCACATTTCCAGCTTTGGAGTAGGAATATTGCAATGCTGAGCTACTGAATTTTTCAGGTGCTCAGCTTTTCAAAGACAGGTGGGGTTGATGTTAGGACCAAACATGTGCTTTTCCTGTCAATCACTGACTATATGGCTAGGGATGAAGTAAAACTCTAGCAAATGCAGGCGTTCTCACAGCAAAGTCTCAGCATGGGCAGTACCCAACCAGAAAACTGCAGTCTTCTTTGAACCATAGGACTCTTTGGAAAGGGAGTTACATTGGAGATTATGCCAGTGACAATCCTGACATAGAACTGCTTGCAGTTGCTTTTTCTTGTTCCTCCTCTTATCCAAAGTATGTAATCTCCCTGGAATAGTGAGAGAGGAAAATTAACAAACTGTTGTAATGCAAGTTCAAGGGTCCAAACTGCAAGGCACTGGATGTTCTCAGTGGGACTGATTGTTCTCTCATTCATTTTACACTAGTATATCTCCATTGACTTCAGTAGGGTTAGTTCAGACTTCCATTGGAGCACAGAGAGAACAAACAGGCCACTAAATTGAATAGTAGCCCAGGGTATTCAGCTATATAATCATGCCTCTTACTTGCACATTCTTTAGAAATTGGTTGTGGTTGATGGCTAGAAAATTATATTTAGAGATTTGCTTTTAGGAATTAGTTTGTAGACGGAGTAAATATTGCATTAGAACAATGGTCCAGGGGAATGGTAAGTGTTAATTGGTTTCTAAAGGTCTGTTTGTGGCAAAGATCCGTGTTATCAGCTTTTAAGGCAGACTGTATCCAAAGCTAGCAGACAGGCTGGGAAATTGAAAACATGCCCTGAAAACCCATAACAAGAGATAAGGAACCCGAAGAATTGGTAGGCATTGGGTCACAGTGACCATCTGCGAAGCCCCTGGGATTTCCAGTTTTGGTGAAATGACCAAATTAGGAGGCTGGGGATGCCCAAATTAAGACACAGGTAAATGACCAAATTAAGATTTATGCATGTGATGATTTTGTGGAAACAAATAATTATGCTGACAGGACAGAATGTAGACAGTGTGACTACCACAGGGAAACCAATCAATGGTACTAGAAATTAAGTCTCATCAGGAGAGAGAGAGAATATAAAAGGAGGGATTTTCAGAGAAGCAGGGGTTATTGGCACTGGATTTACTACCCAGTCCTGATACCTTGTTCTGGGTGAGCATAACTTTCAGACCGACCATAACTCCTCTGGCTGATAATAGGCAAATTTTATTGATGCACAGTTATATGAAATAAGAGTAATTGAGGCAAAGAAAGCAAGATGATTACAGAATACTTTACCCAAAATATTCCCTAGTGACCAGAATATACATGTGAGCACCACCTTGTGGTTCTTTGCTTGAATGTCTGATGTCAGCAACCTTGGAGGTTGGGGGCCAATGCCAACTTCTTGTTCTGAAGACTCCTTTTTTATTCTCTCTCTTCTGATGACTCCATTTCCAAGTACCATCAATTGGTTTCCTTGTCGTTGTCATACTACCCGTATTCTGTTTTGCCAGCCAAAATTCTATCTTCATAAACCCATCACATGCACACACCTTCATTTGATCATTTCATACTAAACCAGAAATCCTAGGGGTTTTGCAGCTGGGCACTGTGACCTGGTGCCAGGCCTATCTTTATTATGAAAATACAAGCTGAATGTTTTTAGTTTCCCAGGATGTGTATGTCCATTGGCTTCATGCACAGTGTCTTCCTTGAAGGCTGTGAAACTTTGCCACAGATAGGCTTTTAGAAACCAATTAATCTTGCTGTTCCCCTGGACCATTGTTCTAATGCAATAATTTACTTTACCAGTAAGCCAGTTCCTAAAAACAAATCTCTAAATATCATTTTCTAGCCATCAGGGGGATCCCAAGGCTACCATGGGCAGAGGGTACACCACTGGCCCATCTTGTGCACCCTGTCTGGGATAGGAGGGGCATTGGCTCTTGACATCTAAGACTGCTGACAATCAAACAAGAACCTCAGGGTGGTGCTCATATTCTGGTCAGGCATGCCATCCCTCTGTGAATCCCTGGGATTGGGGTGGAGGGTGGGGGGGCATGTAACGGGGCCTGCTCGGGGCTGTTCTCAGAGTAGCCCGCCCACCTGTTCCTGGGCTAACCAGCCACCTTCTCGCCTACCACACCTTGTTGTTAATTAGTTAATTTAGATGCTAATAAGTGGGAGGCTACCCATTTCCTGCCCCAATGCCAGGGGGCACTATCTGCGGCTCCATTCCTCCCCTACACTGCAGCCCAAGCCTCGCAGATGGCATCTAGGTGTTCTCATTGTCACTGGCCCACGTACTGGGCCCCAGAACCCTACTACTGAACCCCACCTGGATTCCTCCCTTCAGGCGGACTCTTCTGCCATCATACCAGGCAACATAGCTCCCTGAACTGATCCCCTTTTGTGTGTGATCCCCCCACTGGGACCTTCGGCTCACTAGCCCTGGCCCACCTCCAGGCCAGTCAGAAACCCAGGCCCTCGGCTCTTGGGTGTTCCTCGCGGTGGGCCGCCGGCCCTTTGACCCTTCCGGTCCTGGCCCCAGCATGGACCAGTCAGGGGGAGTTCAGACAGGCCTGAGTCTATGGCCCTTTTCTTACTCTCTGAGGGTCTACCCTCTGGGACCTCCAAACAAAGGGGTCAGCCACCTGGTCATGGGGGCTAGGGGTTAAGGCGCCATGACCCACCTTTCACCAGGGTGGTAACTGGCCTGGCATTTCCTGGGGGCTCCTGCACTATTGAGAGCCCTACCAGGCCACCCACTCCCAGCAGGGTGCAGTTTTAGGTCATACCCAGGACCAGGAGCCTCCTTACTGTCCCCTACAGCTCCTCCCTTACCTCCAGATGATACCTGCAGCTCTGCTGCCAGGTGGTGTTGTTGCCTGGCCTCCAGTAGCAGAGCTGCCCTGTTTATATGGGCAGCTGCAGATCCAAAATGGCTGCCGTCATCAGGCACCTGCCGGCTGCTGCCTTCTGGCCCTTGAAGTGTCAGGCACAAACAGTGCCCTGCCACAGGGCATTATTTTGTTTCCTTTTCCTGCATGACTCTTATCAGCTATCACTGTGTATGAATAAAATTCACCTATTATTGAATAGAAGAAGTTGGGATCACTCTGAGGGTTTGGGTCTGCCTGGAACAAGGTATTGGGACTGGTTTATACATCCAGTGCCGATGATGTGTTATATTAATTGATCTAAATCTCAATTGCAAATCCCACCACCATATATAATAGGGCTAGGTCAAGTAGCTTGGAGAAATAAGAACAAATCAGTGTCTGCCCATTTCTTATGCCAACCTGAGCAAATCCTTTTGCAAATTGATAGCATATAAATTCATCTTGTTTTGTTTTGATTTTTCTTTTTCCATATATCTTAGTCATTCTTGCCTTTGTTCAGAAGCAGAAGTAGCAAACTGAAAGGTGGCAATGTAGAACTCTAACATTTTATGTATCTTACATGAATAGATTTGGTGAAATTCTGGCCCCAGTAAAGTCAGTGGTCAAATTCTCATTTGGGCTAGGTACAGTCAAAACAGTCAAATGCCTGAGGCTGAATTAATTCAGTCTTTGCAGGTTAGTCTAAGCTGCATAGATTAAATTGAAACAGAAGTGAACAGACATTTACCTTTGATTCAGGAAATACAGCCACATGCCTGCAGTGGCTCAGGCCAGAAGCCAGGGAGTGCTAGAGAAGGGCTCTCTGGCTGTGTGTTTACTTCCTCTTCCTGCTGCCCCTGAGGTCTCTGGGATTTGTAGTCCAGACTTACAACAGCAGGGCACAGCAGGGTTGCTCATCACTTTGTCCTCCTGCTTGCAGGTGCCTCTGGGATTTGTAGTCCACAGTCACAGCCAACAGTAAGTTTGAGCAGGGGTTTGCTGAGAGCGGGGGCAGTTCCCCCTCTCACCCGCCCCCCCATCAACCAGCTTTCAGTAGTAGATGGGATCTTAAAATGTCACTGTAGTGCTCTTCTGCTGCTTTCACCTTAGCAGCATTCTTAACCACAAATATGTACAATCCTAAAGGAAGGGATGGATGTTCAACAGACTTGACTGATTTTATTTCAAAATTATTTTCCAAAGAAAGGTAGCTAATTGCATTTTAGTCAATATTTTAATGAAATATCCCCAAATTAAAGAAAAGCAGGTTTTGTTCCTCTGCTCCTCTTTTTCTCTCTCTTTCTCCCTTTCCTACTCCTTTATTCCT